CGTAGATATCCTATCTTTGTCCACTCAGAGAAAAAATAATTAAAGTACACATAAATTGACTTAATCACTTCTGACCGTCGAACAAAAAAAAAAAAGGAAGTCTGAATTTTAGCATGGAAAATTCAGTTTTCTTAGCATTACAAAACCACGGAATTTCAGATTGGGAATTCTCATTTGAATACCATTATTTTCCTCTTCTACTTGGGTGAGGTCAGATATATTCTGTGTGTGAAAATTAATTTTATATATCTTGGTTTGATACAATAGTAATTTATGAAAGTTCTTGTTAGTTTAGATAGGGTCATAGAAAAAGATCAGCAAGGTGGCAAATGGATCCATATATATGAATAAAAAAAAATACTAAATATATTTTTCAGAATAACCAAAACAATTTAATAAGGGTAATGATAGATGGTGATTATAATCAAAGTGTATTATAAGGAAGGAATATATAGTTTTTGATCATATAATAATGTGAAGAAAGGATCGGAATAATACCGTGACTCCCATCATAAAATATCTACAATAAACTCATCGTGTTTAATTTTTTTTATAGACCCGAGACTTGCATCGATTTAGAGATGATTAATAATCATTGCCTTCTTCATTATGCGATAAACCAGCTCAGGAATAAAATTTTAATTTAAATATACTTTGGAGTAGAAAATTTTTGTTTAATTATAAAGGTACGAGCTAGTGATATCTTTCAATAAATTAGGACTAAAACCGAGAAAAATGTAGTGAGGCTAGACAACTGCTGATTTATAATGGAGAATGTTGCACATAATAACCAAATATTGGGGGATTATCTCCATTAATTACCGACAATAATTCAAGTTACTTTTCGGTTCAAACTTTGCCCGAATAAGAAGGAGAAAAAAAAAGTAGCTAATTTTACTTAGCCTTGGTCCCTTGGTGGGGGCCATTATTTGACTAGCCACCTCCATCCTTTTTCCAAAGTACATCATTCATTATGCGTTGATAAGAGTTCTGTATATATACAAAAATCTCACTTCAATTCATAATACTTGATTTGTCCCAAAAAAAAAAAAAATATTAGATGAGAGAAGAAGTTTACGGTACTGAAAAAAAATATTTGTAATGTACCATTATTATAAATTTTGTGATTTCTTTTATAAAATTTAATAATTATTTACAACTTTTGAGAGTTATTTACAAATTTTAGAGATTGTTTATAATTTTTCTGGTTCAAGTTATAATTTTTATGAACCATTTTAAATTTTTGTGGATCATTTCCAAGTATTGAGATTATGTACGATTGATCGTCAAATTGTAACTTTAAAAGTTATAAATGACCCAGAAACATTAAAACTTGAAACACAAATTTTAAAATTATAATGTAATTGAAAAAGTTAAAGTTGTAAATTTGTTTGTTGTAAACAAACTTACAAATTTGTATCTTAACCCACAAAACTTGTAGAACTTAACGGTATGATATCGATATAATTTTTTTGTTTCGGTATCGTAGTATTCTCCTAGACTAGATCTTACTCTCTAGCAAAAGACTTTATTGTGATATTGGAAAAAAAAAAAAAAATTGGTACCATATTTTCAAATTTTCTTACTTTAATGTGTATTTTTATAATTTTGGGGGGTCATTTTACAACCAAAAAATAATAACTTTTGTGAATAATTTATCATTCTTGTGGGTATTTTTACCATTGTTATGATAATTATTTTTATCACTTTTCTGGTACTTGCGATTGATCCTAAATTTTTTAGGGTCGATCACAAGTACCACAAAAAGTGATAAAATAATTATCATAAGAGTCATAAAAATATTCACAAAAATAATAAATAGCGTTATTCACACTCCACAAATATCCGTTCTTACCCCTACTAAACTATAAATTATAAAATTACTAAGTTCATCATATTTTATACCCATCCTATTATTAATAAAAAAACTTATCTCAGTCTTTACCTTTAAAATTTCTTTTTATACTCATTTCAAATAGTCTTTTATAAAATATATTCAACTAAATTCTATTAAGAGTTCTATTCATGCAAATTATTTCAACTAGTGCCGTTTGGGCTCTATCTGTTCTGGTCTCATCGTCTTAACAATATTTCGATTTTACTATGCACTTTTGTTTCTTTCTTTGTTAATTGACGGTGGAAGAAATTCGCAGAAAAACAAATCTCTTTCACACGCAACAATCGCCTGCAGTGTAAGTATCCTAGAAGGAACATGGAATTTTTCTGGTAATACCAACCCCTATGCTATGACAAAAGCTTGTTTCTAGACTTCCATGAGTTTCAGCAGCCAGCGAATAGGCTACTGTAGGCTGTAGCCCACATGTTTGATGTTAGGCCTCCATGACTTCTTCTATCCAAATGGTTAAAGAGTCAAAGAGCTTCTACCTCAATCTTCCTTATTTTCATCGTAACATGATGCCTATGGTTGAATGTATAAAAAAGGTCAATAGGGAGAAGACCGATAATAGTATATTCTTTTACTTGTGGCTTTTCAAAAACCGTTTGCGCGTTTGAGATATTTCTCCCTTTGTTTATGAAAAATATTATTATGTAGGTTCGATATCCTAATTTAAAAGTTATGATCTAATTAATATTATATCAACGTCAAAAAAACTAATTAATTAAAAAAATTTAAAGATCAATTTTAAATTTGATATCATGGAGCTATAATTGAAAAAATGATAGTTTAGAATTAGACTAGACTGAGGTGAAACTACGTACTTATAAAATTTACTTCCATTTGAATAACTAATGCAAAATAGAATAATTTAAACTCTATATGGTAATTGTAATTACCAATTTCCAATGTGTCTTGTGTCTATATAGTTTCATAATTTTATAAGTTTTTGATGTATAATTTCAAAGTGCGACGGGGTGAAGAGAGATATAAATATAGATTAAATGCATTATGTATAGGGTTATTAATCGAATCAAATTATTCGGGCTCAATTCAAATAGGAGTAGGATCTAACTCGATTCATTTTTTAAATGAACTGAACCTAAATAAATTTTTAAGCCTATTAGATTCGACTCAAACTTATAAAATTGGATTTTTTTATATATAAAATAATTGAACTATTATGACTCGACTCATTTTTTAAACAAGTCAAAATCAAATTTAAATTATTTTGTAGACTCATTAAAAAAAACAAATTAGACAAACTCGAACCAAACCTTACAAAATTGGCTTGACAACGGTCCTAAATTCGTGCATTGCCAGCAAATAATTAAGTATTATTCAGTTCATAGGTGAAATGTCAAATTCAATTCGGTAAGTAGTATTTCCCTCTAATTTAGCATGCCACGTGTGCAGCTTTCCATGCGACTGACAGATACACATGTCCAGTTGACCTTCTCCTCAAGCACCGTTCTCAGTTCCAGAGAACAACAAATAGAGCCCCCCACACTCTAACACTCCCTCACCTGCACTAAGAGCATGCATGGGTGACGTGTCCCAAACAACACAAGTTGCTAGCTGTGCTGCCCTGGATTCTGTAGTCGCATACACATAGGACCACCATAGATCCCACCACAAAAACACGCACTTCACACAAGTTAACACCCCCTATAACCCACCTTCATCATCATTCTCCTACTATACCCCCCAACCCCAACCCCAACCCCCACCCCCACCCCACCCCCACCAGTTGTGTATTTTAGAGAGAGACACAAAAGCAGAGATGAAAGAGAGGGCACTCTCACATACCCTGTTTGGCCATTGATGACAATTTCACTCGTTCTTTTTTGATTGAATCGTTTTTTTTTTTTTTGTAAAGAATTGAATTGATAATGGCGAAAACAGGGTTGATAGAGAAAGATCCGGTGATGGTGGCGAAGGCGGCGGAGTTGAAGAAAGAGTTGCAGAGACTGGTGAGGGCAATTGTGGACGATGATGATTTGAATATCGAAACTATTGATCGAGCCAATCAGGCACTTTGTGGATTAAAGGACTTGAAGTTGAAGAGATCTTTGTCTCTGAAGCTTCATGAGGCGGTGGGCTTTCCTGATGAGTTTCGGTGCCCGCTTTCCAAGGAGCTCATGAGGGATCCTGTTATTGTGGCCACTGGTCAGGTTTGTATTCTCAAAATTGGGGTTTTGATGTTGAGTCTTTCATGGACAGGTTCAAAGAACCTATAACTTCACAATTACAATTGAGCTAGTATATGAGGATACAATAGATGATTCATATTACCGTCCTACTTTATGTTTTATGTGGTGAATTGAATTCGTTTTGTAAATTTTACTCTTCTTGTTGAAGGGATTTATTTGTTCTCAATGAGATTTGGTGGAATATGAGGGTTCTCGAGGTTTCCACTGTCTCAGAGACTTGAATTTCACTATGGCCTCTTTGTTTCTTTTGAATTTAGTGTGTTAAATGTGTAAGTGAGTGTAATTTTGAAGGGATTTCTTGAGTGGTAACAAATTAGTTCTTGTGAAACTTAATTGTTGAAATCCTTTAATCAGAATGCTACTGTGTTATATATTATATACACCCCCTTTGTTTGGTGAATTTCATTGTTATCTTACTTTTATCATTTTAATTTTTGAATGTTAATGACTTGTAAAATGGTATAGATCCTTAATTCATACTCTTTAGTCTCTATTGTAGGAAGGATTTGTTTTTTTTTTCTTTTACAGCGATTATTTGACAGACATTTCTCGGTGGCCTTGATTATATTGTAGGCATTATATTCTGTTGTCCTGTAATCGCCATTTCTTCTTAATAAATATGCATCCTTTGGTGAAAATAGGGCATTTTGTGGTTTCCTCTGTTTTCAATACCTGTTGGTTCATTGAGACTACTGCTGTTGTTGATTATTTTTGTTTCAATTATCCAGACTTATGATAAGCCCTTCATTCAGAAATGGTTAAAAGCGGGGAGCAGGACATGCCCTAAAACCCAACAAGTGCTTTCGCATACAGTTCTTACGCCTAATATCTTGATTCGGGAAATGATATCTCAATGGTGCAAGAACCATGGGATCTCATTGCCAGATCCTGTTCAGTATTCCAATGAGGATGGGATAACTGAAGCGGATCGGCATCATTTTCTATCTTTGCTTGAAAAGATGTGTTCAACGCTTGCTGATCAAAAGGAAGCTGCAAGGGAATTGAGATTGTTGACAAAGAGGATGCCCTCATTCCGAGCACTGTTTGGAGAGTCTATTGATGCTATACCTCAACTGCTTAATCCGCTGTCACAAAGCAATTCTCAAAATAACATTCACCCTGATCTCCAAGAAGATTTGATTACAACAATTCTGAATCTCTCAATCTATGACAATAATAAAAAGCTTGTTGCTGAGACCCCCATGGCTATTCCTCTTCTTATGAATGCATTGAGATCAGGAACAATCGAAACAAGGAGCAATGCTGCTGCTGCCCTATTCACTTTATCAGCTCTTGACTCCAATAAAGCCCTTATTGGGAAATGCGGTGCCCTAAAGCCCCTTATTGATCTCTTAGATGAGGGGCATGCATTGGCTATGAAAGATGTTGCTTCAGCAATTTTTAACCTCTGTATTTTCCATGAGAATAAAGCGAGAGCTGCAAAGGAAGGTGCGGTGAGGGTGATCCTTGAAAAAATCAAGAACCGAATACATGTTGATGAGTTATTGGCTATCCTTGCTATGCTTTCAACCAATCAAAAATCTGTTGAGGAAATGGGAGAGCTTGGGGCCGTTCCATGCTTGCTTAGCATACTAAGGGAGAGCTCTTGTTCTCGCAGCAAGGAGAATTGTATTGCAATCCTCTATAATATCTGTTTTGGTGATAGAACAAAGTGGAAGGAGATAAGGGAGGAAGAGAATACTTACAGTACAATATCTCAGCTTGCACAAAATGGGACTTCGAGGGCCAAGAGGAAGGCCAGTGGCATTCTTGACAGACTTAACCGGGCTGTCAATCTTACCCATACTGCATGATGCAGCACTGGAGCACAAAATCTGTAAATTCTACATCTTCTAGCTTTTCCATCTTTTATTTACTTTACGGGCATCTTGTGGTCATTCTCAACCTCCATATTGTATATTCTATTTCCTCACCAGAGTTTGAATCTCAGGTTTATGAGTTATAGTCATCGTAAATAATTACGAAAGAAACTTGATTTCTAAGATCTTCCCTTTTATATAATTCATGCACATGGCTTACTTGTAGATTACTTGAACTATACATGATGCATTATTGCCGTCTCTTTTTTTTGTTTACTAGCAACAGTTCTAATTTAAAGGACCATCTCTACTGGTTTGCTCACATGGCTCACCTGTTAGTTGCTTGAACTTCATTTGCAAAAACGGGTGGTGATTCTTTTATTCATATGAAAGCAACAATTTATAATTGTTATTTAAATTTTTCCTGCTAAGATATTCATATTCCTATGATTTTGTCCACTGCTACACCTACACACTCCACATGGCTTATTTGGAAGTTATGTCTAAGTTTTACTTGGATTAGTTACTTGTTTGTTAGTGCCAAGTGCAACTTCTTACAGTACTTGAACTTTACTCAGGTTTTGACCTAAGAGAGAATAAAGCCAAACCATGTTACCGTAGGAATAATTCGTGGATAATTGAATGAATGGTCGAGGAATGGGTCCAATGCACAATGGGAAGAATGTGTCCGTATTGAATGGTACTGTGATGTCTGCTGTTGTGGTCCATCCAAAATGCCAGCCAAACTTTTTGTGAAGTTCTTCAATGGAACAGTTGCTACCAAACCTTTATTAGTATATTGGGCACGGCCATGGGCGTGTCATGATCTTAAAGCTTTTCTTTTTTTAATATGGTAGTAGATTTATTAATTAAAACATTTTTGTCATAAAGAAAGATAAAAATCTTTGCCCTTAGATAATGTTTAACGTTCTTAATGGATAGACAAGTTGATCAAGACGAGAGGTCTGTGTTCGAGTCTTTTCTTGGGGATATTCTTAGGTATATCGTCGTAATTTTTCGGTAAATGTGGGAAGGAGGAACTGCATGTGCTTAGAGGAGAATTAGTCAGGTGCTGTAAGGGATTTGGATTTCTCATAGTTAGCTCAAAAAAGGAAAAAAGGACTAATGTCTAACTTCTTTAGACCTTAGAATGAGTGCATTTTTGAATATATTTACAATTTTTTTTTTTTAATGTAAGCTGAGGGGGATATTGATAGCTCAAAGAATTTAGATGGGTGTTTTATGATCCTTTGATGCCATCTGGTACAATCAGATTTTTCATATAAATTCCTAGTGAATTTGTCGGGTACTTACAGTGGTTGATGTTCACACACGTCACACAGTGGTCCTCATAATGCCACTACCATCCATGGAATTGCAATAGGTAGCTGGATTGCTTGATTGATACAGACTGGTTTTTGTTCAGTTTTAATCATAGAAGTTCCGAGTGAGACACTCCTCCTCCTTGTGTTATTGGCTTGGCTTGGGATCGTGAAAATCACATCTAGATAGTGAACGTGAGTTTTAATAAATTTCTTTATTAAGTAATTGGGAGAGGATTTGAATACGAGGTTTTTAGATAGAATGCGATACTTTGTCATCGGATAAAACCGCGGTTCTAACTTGGTATGAAATTTTCTTGAGTGTCAATATCATTCCCATTTCAAACGTGAAGGTTATTGTTATGGCGTTATGACCTTAATTTAGGAACCGAACCTTCCTAACCCTCTATGAAAATATATTCCCTTTTACCATCTTCATTCAACAAACCAAAACTTTACTAGTAGAGAGAAAGGGGCATTATGCCAGGGTAGTTGGGCCCCATCCCTTCCATGATGATTATGTTTGAATAATGTGCTTTCTTCCAATCATAGCGTTTTGTGCGTATTTGATGGTGTGGATTTCATCTTTGTTTATTATCTTACTTACACTATCCGATGGGACACAGTCAAAATTATTGAATATTTAATAAATTTGTGGAATTTACTAATTTAGTTGAAGTGGTGTTAAAAAATTGTATGGCATTGTTGTTATCTCTGTCATCCATCTAAACCATATACATGAGAGGACTTGACTACATGACCAGGAAAAAAAATTCGGCCGTTTTTTAAAATTTTATTATTTTAATGGATATTTTTTATAACTTTTGTGAGTTATTTTATAACAAAAAAAAATTATAATTTTTGTGGATAATTTACCACCTTTCTTAGTATTTTTATTATTTTTGTATGTGTTTTTATCACTATTGTGATAATTATTTTTAAAAATAATTATTTCAATAATGATAAAAATATCCACAAAAATAATAAATAAATAATAATATGGTACCGAAATATTTTTTTTTGGGTACCATAAACTTATCTATTAGGAGACCATCTTTCTTTTTTAATCTTTTTGGCTTTCCTCAGACCGTTGTTATTTTCAATTTCAGGCTATTAGCCATATGAACTTGTGGGGTTGTGTGTGTGTGTGTGTGTGTTTTTTTTTTTTTTTTTGTGGATTCGCAATTCAGTCCTATCCTGTGCCTTCTCCAATATTTGCTTGTTCCTGGACTAAATAATCACCTACTCTGCCGTGTAGCAACGTAATACGTAATTATTATATCATATCGAAAGTAATTGCGAGCAATAGATTATTTTCTATTGATCTTGTAAAAATAATAAACTATAAAAAAAATTATACATATCTTATTTTAATTAATAAAAAATAGAAAGTATAATTTTTCGGCACCGTTATTTAACTTAACCCCTCTGAGAAACGGTCAACACATGCTAAATAAAATAGACAAAAGAAGTGGGTGGTGGGGTGGGTGTAGAAAGTAAAAACATCATTGATTGAAATAGGGAAATTCAAATTGTTGCCTTTTCTGTGTAATTAAAAATGTAATTGTGCTTGATTTGACAAGATATGTTGCTAGGTAGGATTGCTTATATGCATTAGAGATGAAAATTCAGTCATTTTAAGTTTAAGTCTTATTAATTATTTATGATCAAGCGATGAGAAATTTATTTTTAATAAATATATTAATTTCGGTGTTGATAGTTTACCTTTGATTGGACTGGTGAAGAAATTAGTTGAGATGTATATAACCAAAAAAATGTGATTCGAAATTCAAATTTAAAGTAGGGTGAAATATAATTCTTGAATCTTTAAAAGAAAATAAAATTTGATCATTGATGATTTGAGTAAAGGTTTGAGCTGCTTTTATTTGAGTAAAAATTTAAATTTCTCTTAATTTAGTATGAATTTGAATATAAAATTAGAGAAAGGATTTGAACTATTTTTACCCAAAATTACATTTGGGTATAAAAAAATGTAACAGTTGGAGATGCTCTTATATCAAAAGTTATTGATCTCTAATTACAAAAGGTAACTTAAGTGACAATAAAGACGAACTATAAAATCAGACACCCTAAGTTTAAATCTTAAAAATTCAAATGTCTATGAAGAATTTATCCTTTATGAATACTTTAGTTCCGATATAAATAACCTACTTTTAATAGAACCAAAGAGAAAATTAATCGAAATGCACATAAGTTAACATAAACATTCTTGATCATTAAAAAAAAAAGTTATTGACATTTATTAGGTTTTGTGCGTGCAAGATCCTGCACAATATAAAAAATATTGGGAACAGATCTCTCCCCTGGTGAACTTTGAGTGAGCCGGTTGAGTGGCCAAACACGCTGCTTGAAACAGCCTGCAAGGTACGGTGGCAACCTGGAACGGCAAAAGAAGATCCTGGGAAAGGAAGAACGATCCTGTATATATGAAAAGTTTTCCTGGAACAAAGAGGAACAAGTTAGAAGGGCGCCGGAGTGTTTTCCGGCGTATCCCCTCCGACGGTCTAGTCAGTCTTTGAGTGAGAGAGAGGAAGGAGAAAACACTGAGAAAATCTGTATTGTAGTAGAGAGTTTGTGCTTGCATACCCCGCTTTGCCTTTTGGGAGGAGTATTTATACCTTAAAAGCTCATGATTGCTGTCAGTGTGGTTAGTAGGTGATCATCAGGCACAGGTAGCGTGTGTATTGATTTGATGAGGAATGTCTTCTCTAATTGACTGCTCGGGATCCCGAGCAATCAATGCTGAGTCGTCGGGATGCCGACGGTACAATATGCTCCTTTCGGGAAGGATGCAATAAATGTTCTGTAATAGGAGCATTTATTGCCTTTCATATCCGAACCTTACCGCATTGAATGCGGTCTCGTCAACAGAAGGGTGCAATTAATTATTTGCTTTCCCAAGCGCGTGTCAGCAACAGCATGCGGTTTGTCTGTTTTTAATGTGATATCATATGCCACGCGTCTATCACGTATTGGGTATGACCTCTGTATTCCAGTATGTTCTGACATTACTTGTGTAAGACGAGGTCATGATGAATAGTCTAGACTGGCATAGACTGATGTCCCGTACGTCAGTAGCTTTATCCGGGTGTAGGGGAAGCGTTCAGGACGGAGTGACTCTCGGCACCGAGGAAAGGCCCACCTCGGGGACCGAGGGTGGTATGTTTCCGAGGTACACGGGTGATCGAGGACACGTGTTGTATAATACACCGAATGCACGATCCTATGAGAGGTACCTCGGGGGAGAGGACGCTCTGCGCCGATGGTGCTTACATCCGAGCAACACTGTTCCAAAAAACCTGAGGACACGTGTCTTCATCTTAGGGCTTTTCAGAAGAGTCCCATCAACTGCCCCCAGCCTTCGATCTTCTGACCCCGAGGACACGCGTTGTAAGGAGACGAAGGGTTTTCCAACTGCCATCCGTCCTTCATTATGGCCTCGAGCAGCTTTCCCCGACTTGGGACGTCGTGCGCATTAAATGCGCTGTTTTGGTTCTCCCGCCCAATGATGACAATTTCCCCCTATATAAAGGGGGTTCTTCTCTGGTTTCCATTGTTTTGCCATTTCGATCTTTTACCCAGAGTATGCCTTTCCTGATCTTTCGCCGGAGTCCTTGTTTCCTCTACCATCGTCGACTGCTCTTTCTCTCAAAATCACAGAGCCAGCAAACCCATTGTTGATTCCTGGACTTTCTGGTGCGAGTCGTTTTAAAGTTTTTCCTGAAAAACTCCGTTTTCGACGTTTCGGGTGAGTTTCACAACCTTTTTCTTTATCGTCCTCCTAGCCTTTTTGTTTTCCGATTGAACGGTGGTGTCATCCGGTCGGTACGTCTTGATTTAAACCCTCGGGGAACTTCCTCAGGTT